AAATTTAATAACTTTCTGACTTTGTTCTCAAAAGAAAATGCAAATATGGGCAGGGGACTGAACCATTCGGCTTGGAAACAATGTTCAGCTTGGCCAGACTATTTCCAATTATACTCTGTAATTTCTCTCCTCTTCTTAGTAATATGGCTCAACGCTGGACCATTCGGCTTGGAAACAATGCCCAGCTGCCAATTCACATGCAAATATAAGTAAAATACTTTCTTTTATACTTTGTTTATACTTATGTGCGTGGTTTTCAGACTAAACCATTCAGCTTAGAAACAATGCTCAGCCTTAGACCAAAATCCTCCCTCAAAATAAACAAGAACTTAAACCCTTCCAATCACGCAAACCCTAAAAAATTAAAGACAGCAACCAGGCCATTCAGCTTAGAAACAATGCATGACCCTTCAGAAAACAGCCAAATAAACATAGCCCTGGGCCATTCAACTTAAAAACTATGCCCAGTCCTTGGTTGACCCGGTCAAACGCATGCAGTCTACCTTCCTCCCACCTTCCCCCAGTTCATCCCTTAGTCTGCTTTCAGTCAAAATAAAGAGAAACTTAGGCTTTTCACGCACGTTCCTTTTCCATTTAGTCTGATTAATCCTGAAAGAAAAGCAAAATCATAGGGACAGCACATGCTTTCATCAGTCAAACTAAGGGGGATAGTCAAAACATGGGTGTAGTGGGTTATACAAATAGAAAAGGATATACCTGATAGTTCCCTGCCTCCAGAACCTCGCCTAGGTTCCGGTAGAGCTCCCGCAATCGGTGGGCTGACTCCCCAGAGTCTTGCTGCGGATCCTACGGGTTGCAATCCTGCCTGCCGCCTTCCTCTCGTAACGAGGATTAGACTGAGATTAAGAAGGGGCAGAATGAGGTAGATTTGAGACTTTCAGATCGAAGGGAGGTGCACTCAGACTCGCGGGGGAGGACCTTGTAATCTTCAGTCGCCTGAGGGCCCTGCAATGGTGGCCAAAACGCACACCAGGTCGACCAGACGAAGTCAAACCACCCCTGAAAATCCTGTAGCCGACACCCTAACGATCCCCCAAGTTGCAATAATAGACCTCTTTCGCAACCTGATCACTTCCCTAAACCGGAGTGTCGTTTCCCCTTACCGATCTTGGTATTACGCAGGTTGTCTGCAGAGCATGGTCATCCTTCACATCACAAAGTTTTCAACTTCTGACCAAAACTGCCATGATAGCGCAGTCCAAAAAAAGTTGTATCCGAGTAGGCATACCCCTCGCTCTATCTGAATCCAACCTGCGCTAGCATTCAAATCTCAGCAGCTCACTCCTTATGTTACGCCATCCGTACGTCGGCCAGCAGGTGAGTCTGTTACCTCCGTGGTTGGCCCGCTGCGTTTACCATTCCTATGGGATAGACAACACATGGCTAGCAGGAATGTCTTCAACTTACTTCCGGCCCCCTCGCTAGTTCTACCGACAGGATGAACAACTCCCCAGCCAAACAAGCAAGTATATCGCCTTGCAGTTCCTCTATCCTGCGGTGAACAGTGTATCGGCCAGTATGTAAGCCTGCATCTTACTATCTGTCGGCAGGTGCCTCGCTCGGTGTAATAGGAAGTGCCTCGATTAGCGGGTGAATCTTTGGTCCCACGGTAAGCCTCCCGCTACACTGTATGGCGAGATGCGCAGCGTACCGGCAAGCAAGTAAGTCTTCAGCCTCGCTGCTCACTCCTTCTTTTTAGTTGCTCTCACTCCTCCCCGCTCCCTTATGCTCCCGGCCGGCTTCCTAGTCACAGTAGTGGCCACAGTTGGTCGGGTAACTCCCAACGACTCAGGGGAAGCAGCTGAGGGGACAACCGAGCAGGTAGTGCATCAGATGGACGTTATGGCTGAAGACGGAAGGCCTGTAGGCCTGGCATGTCATTCTGCAGGTAAGCCTCCTGACCGCACAGCTGGCTCCACGCTATTCCCAACGACAGAAGGATCAAAATCGGACAGCCACATGTAAATCTATAACCCCATAGTCGCATCTTCGCTACTTCATCGTTGGGGTGGACAACCACTAGCGGTTAATGGAAGGTGCGTTGTAAGTTGGTCTCTACCCTCTTCCCGCTCTTTGTTGCGCTCGTTCCTCCCACTGCTCAACTCTTGGTTCACGAACGCACCTGGCCACTTTCCATGCCAAGTTCGTTTATCAACGGGCAGTGTACAACAGGGAATGAAAATGTACGGATGAGGATCACGGCACAGCGATCATCATCGTGGGTAGCAAAAACAACACTGTTATAACGGGGAGGTTCGACCACCTGTACTTGCGAATTAACGTGGTCGATGCCCCCGACCAGATTCACTTGCTCTATCCTCGTTCCTCTCTCTCTCTCTCTCTCTCTCTCTCTCTCTCTCTCTCTGTGCGTGGTGCAGCCGGCCTCACACTGCTGGCAAGGATAGGATGAGCAAAATCGAATGAATCTTTCGCAAAGAAGAAGCCAAATACACTACCACATCAAAATCACTTCTCCGAGGCGCATCCCACGACTCTCATGGCACCAAGACTACGTCCCTGATGACCAATCCGACACTGCCATGAGATTCGCAACTGCAAAAAAACCCAAAACGTACTTTCATCCGCCTGCTTCTGCTGAGTATCGAGGGAGATTGCAGATTTTTGCTCCTGCCATGATCCCATTGCTCGATAGCTCCTCGCAGCCCATCACCTTTGCAGCGCCAAAACCAATCGTTCATTGGCCGAACTATTATTCCTATTCAACTCGCAATGGCCC